TAGGAAAGAGGTTTGCGAAGACTCCTAAGCTTACTTGAGAGCCTGTATCTGGGTCGCTGTATTTCATCGCAGCGTCTTAGAACATCATGTAAGCCCAGCTGTAATTTAATCAAGCTCTTCTTCAGGATACTTGTGATTGTTATTAATCCGCACATGAATCGCACGCAAATTAGCATTATCAAACACATGTATATTTTTTTTCTTGATTTTCTGAGCGCTCTGCATCTTGGAACGCTACGAAGATGTGTGTTGGTAGCTCTTCACCTCCGGTTGTCGTCACACGCCACGAGACTTTGGTTGACCCTCTGGCGTATCTCTCTCGGTAAATACGACCTTTCTCAAAGTATAGCATGCGTGTGTAACCAGCAACCAACTTGCTTTCTATCGTGGTTTGCACTTCGATCGAAGGTCTGATGAAAGGAACCCAGAGCGAAAGATGTTTTATCTTAAATTTTCCAGCATCTACCCCATTTGCTCTATGAAGCGAGTTTTCAGCAGAAGCGCGAGTGAGGTTCAGATTGAACTTTATACCTATGAAAGCTGAATCAATGTCTTTGACAAAGCCTAGGATGTCAGCGAGGGGAAGCATCATGGTAACGTCTTTAGCGCCCGCGCAGAGCTGGCGGCGACTGGCGAAACCAATGTTGAAGTTAGGGTTCTCTGTTGCGTTGAGGTTTAAGTTAAAGTTAGCCCGGAAGTTACCGCCATTCAAAGCGACACCGTTACCTACATTAGCAACAGGAAGCAACTGAGCGGTAGTTCTGTTCACAAACTTATTCGGATTAGGTGCACCAGTTCCAGTGTCGGGGTACCAGAAAGCACTCGTGGCGGTGCTCCTGGACGAATCATCCGAATCAGTTACAAGCCGCATGATCGTGTTGACAGTTGAAGCATACTGACTTATTTCTTCAACGGTCTTGTTGTTAACCTGGATTTGGACCGTCTCAAACAGGCTCCAGCCACCATTTGCCAGAGCGACATTGTCGGCGGCATCATAATTGGTGCCATCGTTCTTTACCACGCGACCTCGAACTTCGAGAAGGGCTCTTTGAAGCTATATAAGCTGGTCAACGTTCTCAGTGTCTATATTGATATTCTTATTATCGAAATTTGGATCGCGGGGAAGAACTCTTTCGTACTGCAGACGCTCAACAGAGCGGTCAACGATGGGCTCGTCAAAGAGTCGAAGTGCTGAGAATATCATGTCTGTAGCCATTGTTATGATAGTTTGTACTTCGTACAGTATATATATATATTATAAAAAATTTGCGTCTGCCGATCATCAGACCGATATAGTTTAGTTATTATTTCTGATAGTTAGTCTGATGTGATATTTAGTCCAATGTGATATTTAGGCATACATCATGCCGTTACCTGACACGAGGTTGCTTAGAATACCTAAGTCTCAAGAAGTCAGCTGTTGCTTAGCAAGTCTTTCAGCGCGCGATACTAGAGCTTTTCTAGCTTCAGAAGTCCCAACCAGCTCATTAAGTTTAGCTCTAGCTTCTTTCGTTAAAGCAGTGCGAGTACTTTTTGCGCGCGTTTTTGCAGTACTAATACCAGCTTCAGCCTCAGCATGAGCCACTGCAGATGCACGTGATTTAGCTTTTCTTGCCACTCCTTTAACGTCTCCGCGGGCGAGATCGGCAACAAGACTGCTTACGTTTTCAGGCGAGAACTGCTCTTTTGCAGTCGATATAGCAGCCACTTTGGCTGCTGTAGCCGTGTCACGAATTGCTTTTTTACCAGCCGCCACGGCCACATTCTTGATTTTTAGAGCAAACTTGCCTACGCAAGATCCTAAGGCTGCAGCTGCGGACTTCCCTGCACTGAAAGCGCACCCTTTGCCTTACCAGCAAGGCTCACGAGGTTTCCAATCAATGACTCCCCGACAATTTTTCGACGAACTATACCACGTCTAATCATAGGAACTATCATTTTGCCAAGTATATTATATATATGGAAAAATAAGCCATTATGGCAACAGCTTGTGAATCGGAATTCGCTTATGAGCGTGTATAATCACATTTTTGGACGGATGTTTAAAGTGTAAGTTACTTGCTCACCATTTAAATCAATTTTATTTCCTGACTGATCAGTGATTTCCATTCTTACATTAGTAATAAGGCTAGTTTTTATGAGTGGTAAGTAGGTCGGTGGACTAGGACTTATTTGCAACAAACGTCCTGGTCCTCGGTTTGGAGTAAACGATTTAATAACATCACTAGGATTCCCGTTTACTATACTTGAATTAACAAGCGAGCAGTGAATATGGATCTTTTGTACATCTGTAATGTTAATTCGATTCTGACTTAAATTCTTTCCTCTAGTAATATCACCTCCACCCACAGCAAACCCAAGACTAGGGCCTATGCTGTTATATATGTCAAAGGAAACTACAAGGTCACTTTTAATAGTAATCGCAGATTTTGATATAGGAATATTTACTGAAAGCACAAAGGGTGGATCACGTCTCACGATCTCATCTTCATGTGCGAACTTTACCCCCAATGATTCCATAGCATCTTCAATAGCTTGATTGATATCGGGAATGTTGTAAGCGCCTGGGGGTATTGTGATTTTTTGCCGTTTAATTGGAGTCTGTTTAAGCTCTCCTCTCTGTGCACCATCAGTATCACCATAGTTTCCTCTTCTAATCTCAAACACTAGTTGATTGTTTTTCGTAGTGACATTTTCCCACGAATTCCACAAACTAGCTTCAGTAAGAGCCACTTGATATTTTTTGTTAGCCTCTAAAGGTATAGGTAGCCTAAAGCCAATTTGAAAGTCATTCGCTTCTTCACCGTGCGCCGCAATGGCTCTTGTTGAGTCCATCTCAATACTGATTTCGTCTTTTAATACTCCAGCCATTATGGTTATATTGATAACACTAAACGTAACATATCACATCAGACTAACAGACCAAGCAATAGCTCTGTATAATATATAAGGAGAAATTTTAACGCACGTATTTATTTCTAATTTTTCGGTAATAACTTTTTGATATCGCACTTTCGTCTAGCAGTTTTGTTAGGATCGCTTCAATATCGTTTTTCAACTCACGAGAGTCATTACCAGCCTTTACAGACTTCCAGGAAAGGTAAAGGCGGTCGATAAGCTCTGATAGGCTATTATAATAGTGCACTCCAGTTCCTTTTTTTTTAAGGAGTTGTTTGGGGCGACTTCTTTTTTCTTTTAGAACCTTGTAACGTTCGAAGTTTTTTTTACCTAGCTCTCGGTTAGCTGGAGAAGCGGATTTTTTTTGTAGAAGGGCCGATAGATTTTCCAAGATTTTCAAAATGTACGTCGTTTATAAACTCACCAGCCTCCAACCGATCAAGCAAATTTGAATTCTCTATAACCTTCCAAGATGGTTTGTCTTTTGTTAACAGGACAAGATCATCTAGCCGTTGGGCAAGCTGCTGTTGAGTGTTCTTAACCGCTTGAGTGACTTCTTGCAACCCTTCAATTTCTTCGTCTTGTTTTTTGTTAATAGCTTCTGCTACATATTTTTCAGCATTAACAATTGGTTTAGACGCCCTTTTTAAAGAATTCACCTTCGTGCTGTCGAGACACTTTGAAATCGACTTGGCGCCCCTTGAGTTCCGCGCGGTTTTTTACAAACTCTTGGACTAATTTTTCGCGCTCTTCCATAGATGCAACTGACCTGAACATACTTGAACTTCAATCTCAAGATAGATGAAGATAGATAAATTTTTTTATCTTACTATATAATAGGACAAAAAAATGGACGACCCATATGGTGTAATGAAAAATTATAATCGACCTAAAATACAGTCGGTGCTAGTATCTATTGATTCACAATCTCAAGATAATAAACCACGTTTTACCCTGCCAGTGCCTGTTATTAATACAGAGGAATCGGATGAAGAGTCACGTGATACAGAAAAATCGTCTATAGAACCTCGCGAGAAGTCACGTGACTCTCATTTTTATAAGGTAAAAACGTATATGTATAAAATCTGCTCTAAGCACAAAATTCCATTCAACGTAATTCAATTGAACCATGTAATCTGTATGGCGGCTGATATGTCTTGGTCTACTGGAAAGCCTTTTAATTACCCCTCTTTCATAGCAAATTTTGTCAAAAATACGACGCCTCGGGTTGGCCTGCTAAAACCGTCGAAGCTATAATGCAGGCGGTTACTCCTCATCTTCCAAAATATAAAAGAGGCAACAAGAATAAGTTTAATGATGCCTTCAAAGAATGGATTACCGCTTCGGGGCTACCATAATTCCGTCAAAACGCTTCCGATAGCGAATAGGAACTTCCTCTGCAGTACGATCGATTACAAAGTAGTCGTACTTCTTTTCAGTGGCTTCATGGTAAGCCGCCGCTAGCTGCTCTTTTGCAATACCATCAGCGTGGTCAGCTGCAATTTCTCTCACGTCGCGCTGGTCAAGACCTCTCATAAGCACATTACAACCGGTATTTCGTCGAATATACTTGGGGACGTCATAATAGCTTTGCACTAAGTATATGGCTGTGACATTCTTATGTTGACTTGCTGAGAAATACTCTTTGATTGGGTTTAAGCTTTTTGAATCGAGCCGAATATCGTCAAAGACTACTGTCTCGGGCATAGTGTCCAACTCCTCTACTGGCATTACATCTTAGAAGACGTTCTTTCACCCCGTTCATCAGTCGAAACGAGCAGCTTTCGCTTTGTTCGCATTTCAAACATTGAGGCAGAGCTCCGCCAAGAGCGTGACGCTCGTCATAAGCTGCGTAAGAAATACACGCGCATTATTTCGACACTTGACACCTTATCTGCTGCATCGAGTGCCTTTACAGTCGTGACAGGAACTGGAGGTGTTGCTCTCACTCTATCTGGTGTAGGCGCCCCGGCTGGGGCCGCTCTTGAAGTTCTTGCTGTCGCTGGCGGGTTGATCTCAGGTGTGGGGCGTGTTGTTTGTAAAAAGCTCGAGAAAAAAGCTAAAAGCACGACCGCATAGCCCAAGCTGCTGTGACGATTCTGATGACTGTCGGTGATATTACGTCACGTGCTCTCAGTGACAGCCGAGTCTCACATGAAGAGTTTGAACAAGTTCTAGATCAAATGCGGCGTTTTAACGAGCGTAAACGCGTTATCCAAGATGAATTCGACGCTCCGATGCGTAAGAAACAGGCTACCGATATAGCTTCTCTACTCAAAGAGATGGAAAAGACAAATAAGAACTTGGAGCGTGAAAAAGAAGAAGTTGTTGCCGCCGCTGCTGAAAACGCACGCCGTGAAGGTGAAGCTCAAGCTTTCAAAAAAATTGCGGGTCTGGCTGGAGCTCGTCATAGATTTCTCTTGCGGTCAAATATAAATCCAGTAAATAAAAAAATTTTTCTATTATATATAATAGGTGTATAAACGTCGCATCAAACTAATGGCAACTTTAGTAATCGGTGGAACTGATGATGGTTATGGATCTGGAAAACCAGGACCACCAGGGCCTAGAGGCCCAAGAGGAGCTCAGGAAGATAAAGGTGATACAGGAGCTTCGGGGGCTCAAGAAGATACGGGTCCTAAAGGACGAAAAGGAGAAAAAGGTGATACAGGAGCTACAGGGGCTCAAGGAGATACGGGTCTTAGAGGACCAAAAGGAGAGAAAGGTGATGAGGATCCTAGAGGAGATGACGGAACTGATGGGACCAATGGAAGCGATGGTGCGCCCGGGGCCACAGGAGCTCAAGAGCCTAAAGGAGATACTGGAGCCACAAGGCCTCAAGGGCCTAAAGGAGATACTGGAGCCACAGGGTGTAGCTCCATGTAGCTGCATTTTACGCCATAGCGCAAAATGCTCGCACCATATTGAATGACGCATGCGCCATAGTGTAAAGTTCAAAAGGTCAGTAGCACTTGTGTGATCTCTAGCAACTCTAGAGCAACGCGACCAAGTTGAATTCATCCTACTTTTAAGTGGTTTGTTTTGCTCTCAAACTCCAGCCTTCAAGATCACTGCAATAACGCGGCGATTTTCTCATCAAAATCACTGTTTTGTAGGAATCCTATCCCTTCTTCTTCGACAAAGTAAATAGATATAAATTACGGTGTTTTTAAAGCATTGAAGAAGTAACTATCTTTTGTTGACAGCAGCCATGTTTATTTTCTCAACAAACAACGCACCAGTGCAATTTCAGCCACGATTTGCCCTTCCCAATCGAGAGCAACATGTGCCCGAGCATTTTCCTCTATGCGTAAATGGCAGCTGCATGGAAATTAGCCTTAAAAGCGATGATTATGATATTTAGTGTGTGGTACGTAATACTTGAACAATGAATGTTCGGACTATCACACCTATGTACACGCTGAGCACCTATTTTTTAAGTATTGGTCATTTGAGTTTGCGTAAGCAAAGTCATCAATTAAGAACGTGCAATGTCTTAAACAAACATACTACATTCAAGCGTTCCCTGTTCAGTTTTGCATAAGTTAATATGACCATTGGAATACACGCAAATATCGTTAGCCGAGAGCTATGATGTTTAAAGGGCAAACACACGGAATTGATGTCACAGAAAATCTTTGTTTTTCAGTTACAAACAAACGGCGAAATAGTTTGAACATTTAGTGTGTTTACCTGAAATAATCCCCTGTGTGTTTACCTGAAATAAACAAATGTATACATTCGAAAAAACCTAGTTGAAGCTGTTGACCTCTTTCAGCAAAAAGAAAAGTAAAAAAGCCATTGTTTAAAAGAATGCAAAATAGACATTAAAAAAAAATTAAAATTTATTAGGACTAGAGCAAATATTGCTTTGAGATTAGTAGAATTATTATCATTGCTTAGTTTAAATATAACAACAAAAATAGCAAAAAAAGGAACGTGTATTATAAGACTACGCCTTAAAAGTAAGAAAAAATATAGAAAGACGAGTCTGTTTTTTGTGCTGGACAGACAATGTTTTCAACAAAAAGTCACTTCTTGTACATGAAAGTATACAAGCATTGTAAGTGAATCAGTCACAATGTTCAGCATAAGCTGCATAGACAATAAAGTTGAAAAAAAGCAAACCATGAGGCAACAACTAGTTCTTTTGAATAGAAAGATTGACAGCATCTAGCAAAAGTATTAAGACAAAAAAGTTGATAAACGATGCTGCTATGCATTTACATGCTCAAATTTTTTTCATCATTAATCATTCTCTCAAACATTTAAGAGTATTTGCGAAGATTACATACATTTTTGCTATGTTTTTTTTTTAATTCTGTGTTGACAAATGGATCATTTATCGAAGCCATTTTCACTAAGTATATTTTCTTGCGATACGGCAAATAACTCCAAGATACGTGCTTCAATAAGTTTGGCGTGGCTCTGAATACAAATTCAAATAAATTTCTGCCCTGATTCATCATCAGCTACAAATATAGTTTCTCATCAAAAACTTCTCGTTTTTCAAATCATGCTGTTTTCAATCGAAGCTTTGATCGGCAAGCAGAAGTGTCACGCACGTAACACAGTGAACGCGAGACATACACGAAGCGCGAAACCTTTTCAAGACGGCTTCATCCAATCACTGGGTTTTGTATACTACTTATCGTTCCAGGTATTTTACATTTCACTGTTTCCATTAAACTAACTGGATGTACAACGGGGCCTGTGAACTGTTGTGAAAAACATGGATCACTGATCTTGAAATAAAACTGGATCAAGCATCTAGCACAAAAGTTGAAGACAAAATTAAGGAACGCCGCAATTATAAAAGACCAACCTTCGAAAATTCGTGACTATTGTTTTCGGCTTTCTACGCTTAAGTTTTTAATTTTTTTCTTCAAATTGACATGATATTATGTTAACATAAAAAAGAGTATTTCAATAAGAAATATGGCTATGAATGGGAAGAAATATTATCAAGATGAAGCAAATTTTATCTAGCACATCGTTAACGAAGTAGAGCAAAAATATGGTAAATCACTCATAATTAACTGGGAATATCAATAATCATATGAATTTTCAATAAAAAATTATCTATGTTGAAAGATAGAAAACTCGCCATTGCTTAGTTTTTCTGGGTTTTTCTTTTATCTTCGTTGGTCGGGGTGACTACGACTTATTAGCAAAAACGCTATTATTCTTTTTAAGATTTTGTGGTTCTTAAAAGAACCGTTTTTTATCCATGACTTGCAATAACAAATGCACTGAAAATGACAGCTTCTTTCTTGAGTTCAGAAAAGCTTACCATGTTTGGAGAGTCACAGTAGTCATGGTCACTTTGCATTGGAAAGGGTCGATTTACTAAATCATACTTTCTTATGAGAGGTGCGACATTAATTGTGATATTATTTCCATTCACTTTACAGGTATCTGTTACAACCGAGAGGGTTTTTGTTGGATCTCTTATCTGACAGTTGACTTTTCCACCTTGTATTGAGCTTCTCATCAATAAACGCTTGCAAGCTGCTATAAACTGCTGTGCTGTTGGGTCATTGTTAAAACCACCTGAAGATCGTGTGACACCAAACACCAAAGAACATTTCAAGATGATCCTGGCTGAACGTATAAGTGAGTAAATATTTCAAGGGGGCTGCTGGTTGTTCCACAATCTCACAAAAAATGCCATGGACACTTTTAATTGCAAGTAAAAAGCCAAGAAAGCCATTCTTTTGACGACTGGTATGCATTGGTATATTATATGGGTCTTTTAGTTCTAGAATATACTTAAATGCTTTTTCCAGAAAAGGACTCCAAACTGTCTTGTTTCCAATGCGAAGTGCTAAATTGTTTCCTTGGGCACAAGGGTTTTGAGAATTTAGAATCTAAAAAAGACGATCAAATATGCGAATGAACTTGACAGTGGCTTCACATCCCTTGAATTGTTGTAGCTTTAATTCTTTACAGCAATATGCCATTGCATCAGCAACACTTGTACTATAACGTTTGGGCTGCAAGATTCACTTTCATTTTTTGTTGTAGCCATTTAATGTGTGCTATCTTGAGCTTGATGCCAAGTCTGAGGCCCTCTACTTCCTGAATCTTTTGGACCTCAATAAAGTATTTCCAAATTATCTTGTTGCCGTCTTCATCAATGATCATTCCTCCAGTTCCAAGGGTATTTCTTACCAACTTCGGCATGTGCCAAATGCCCAAAAAGACATAGATCTTAGCAATTGGATCAAGTGAATGAGAGAAAAAGGCTTGAAGATTTGCAGGATCGATAATAACACCAAGTCGTCGAAGCATTGCGAAGTGACAAGATGGGCTTCTTCCTTTCTCTTTGGTCCTTCCACTTTGATGGAAAGTGCTTGGATTGCAAGTTCAGTAAATCCAAGGTCTGCAGGAATGTTGCTGTATCATTTGCGGATTTGGGCTGCATGAGGAAGAGGCAAATTGAAAGTTGTTCGTACAAAGTCATATGCTTTAGAGCTGTAAAACTGTAGAGTTAGAGCAAACGACTTGAGGGTGGGTGAGTAGTTTAAACTTTTTACATACTTGCCCATTGACTGCATTCGATTGGAAATATCCAAAAGAAACGCCAGATAAAAACCTTTGCAGCGATTCTTCAAAGTTTGTAGAAATAAGTTTTTTGTTCTTTAATTGATTAATAATGACCCCGAGGGATTCTATTTTACTTTGTAATCGCTTAGAATTTTGTTTAGAGACTTTTAGCATTTTGCCGTCGGTGGTGATGGTTTTTTCTTTCTCCCCAAATTTTTCTTCACATATATTGTTTTAGTTTTGTGCTCTGAAACAATACGTGCATTTTCTTCCATTTGGTTGTTCGACAAAGTTGATACATCGTTTGGTGGTTTACGACTTTTATCAGACTGTGAGAACAAATTCATACATCATGAAAGGTATAAATGACATAAACAGCTCATTAATCAAGTCTTGCATACAAGTCTACATTTAGTCGTTACAGTGATACTTTTACTTGGAAGCATAAAGATATATATTGCTGGTTGTCAAAATTGTTTAACTTTTTTAAATAATGTTTCCATAATTTCGTAAAAGCATTATTGCTAATGCGCATTTAATATACACGATGAGTTTTTTTAGAATAGACATGTTTCGACATCTCATGATGCCATCTTCAGTATGAGTGAAATAATAAATGATACAAGGTTTATATACAAGTAATATGATACATAAATTACAACAATAAAAAGGAAATAAGAGAAATTAATGGGGAGCGTCCGAGCGTATTATAAACTAAATATTGTATTGAATTTAAAAACTTGAACATTGAGGTCAGGGTTAGTTTTGTTAATGTGGAGTGCTTCTTTGATTTTAAGGGAGAATGAGGTGTCGGCAGTGTCAATGATTTCGAAGCAAGAGGGTGAATAGTTGGTTCTACATGAGTGAGATTTAAGAAGGTTTCGGTAGATATGAGAGTTTTGTCTGTTGTGGTATGTTCCCTGATTCTGGTGGATAAATGGCGCGAAGTGTGGCCAATGTATCGGCTATTACATCCCGTGCAATTGAATTCATATATCACCGTAGATTTAATTGAATCAGGGATTGGGTCTTTGAATGAGAAAAGGTTTTTGATTTTGAATGATGTGAAAATTAGTCGAATGTCAATATCTGTACAGAAGCGTTTCATAATGTTTGTAAGTCTGCGTTGTGTGTCTCGTGAGTAATGTCCGATGTATGGTAGTTTGAAGTATGGTGTTGTTATTTTGGAATTTTCATTTGTGTTGGTCGTGGTCGTCGTGATGGTTTCACCCTTTTACGAAACTCTTTCCCACTACACTTTATTAACAGAACCATAAAACGATATTTCGACAACAAACAAAGCAACAACCTCAAACTAGACACCGAAACTCCTGACA